CGTAATTAATTGTTTATTGGAAAATACACAAAGACTATGTTAAAGTGAATACTCAACTATTTAGTTTCATCATGACTTCTGGAAAAACTATATCTATATTAGATATTAACTGCAGCAGCAAAATTAAACGTGCAGCTGAATAATTCCCTATATATTGAAAGGACACTATTTATTATTTGACCAACACTGTGCATTTAAGGCTATGCATTTAGTAAACTCCTGTTCAGAAACAGAAAATACAAAATCTCGACACTTGTGCGCATATCATAGTGATGCAACTTATTAAAGAATTGTTCTGGTCGCGTTTGTCCAGGTAAAATCAAGTTCATGTATATAGTATTAAAGAATAAATACAATCGTATGCAGAAAATAGTATTTTTCATCAACTGAGAGTTAAGCGACAAGACATGGCAATTTGTCGTATTCTCGGGGCGGACATCCGGGAATTTTCACCGCATTGTAACCATCACGGTGAAAACAAAGGTCGAAAACTCTCAGAAAAAAATACTTTAGGATGGTTGTTGAGACTCCCCTGAACAGTGTAACAAAATTACCCCTGCGTGTGTAACGCATATAAATTTGATTGTTCGGGATTACTTTAAAATTGAGTTCTTGTTGTTTTCTCGAATTTTCACCGGCTCTTCGCTCAGCGTTCGGCGTTCCTCATCAACGCGCTCAGAGCCCATAGAAATCCATGGTACAGTGGTGCGCGTCTTAACAACGTGGAACGTTTAGTGACGTAGCTCCGCCCCGAGGATATATATACATGTCGCAAATGTGGTGGTTTGTTGTATTTATAAGTTGAAATAAATACAAAGGTGGTCAAATCTTTGAAAGCAAATTAACTAATGTACGTAGTACTAATATTGGTGTAGTCGAGTCCCGGATCGAGTCTCATTTCCGTTCAATTAACTGTCGGTGTTAAAGAACTGTGTTTACACACAATTGGAATATAACAATGAACAACACTAAAACACAGTATTCATTTCAAATAACTAAAGGGGGATTTCTGACTCGTACTCTTTGCATTGACGTTTCAAATTTACGAACACGTTTTTTTATATTGTCCTTGAAGCCGCTATGTGGTAATGAACAACTCATGAGGAACTATGTAAATGTGTGTGAAGATTGGACAAGCACATTCTGTTATGGCGCATCTACGCCACGTGATATTGATTGACAGCAGTTAGCAGCGGTGCGTCGGTTTAACGGTTCATGTTTTTTATTCGACAACATCTCAGCTTTACGAGATTTGTAACAAAATAATTCCCTTTGTTTACAAGCTTTTGTATACTCTACTTGGGCCTTTAAGAAATTACATGAGAATTGCTTTATCAGTTCTAATAATACCAGTGGATTGTTGATGTTGATAAGTACCCCAATAAAGAGTGAGACTACAAAGCATACAGGTATCGGGGAGCGTAAAATGTTGTTTGAATACCATCAGAAGAACTCGAAACTCTATTTTTTGTTCAAAAATTACATTTTTTGATGACTTTATATCTTTAATATGAACATATAATATATACGCAATTAAATAATTGAGGTTACATTTACAGATAAATTTCAGTATCTATTTCAGTAACTTACACTATTCAATGGACACATTGTTGTTATTATTGCTCGAGGCAGAAAACTCGATGACACGGTCATATTCATTTTTTGTAATATCAATTGCAGGTGCCGCTGACTTTACATTTGACGCTGACTGGAACACATGTGAAAATAAAACTATAGAAGTGGTGTTTACGAAGGAACTTGGTCAAACAGTCATAGTAGATTATGAAATCCTTGAAGCGCCAGCAGGACCCCCAGGTAGCTTAACAATAGGAATTGGAGGAGGACCCACTTCGAATGGTTTAAGTGCATTTCGTAGCGAATATGATCCAACAAAAGATTATATTATATATTATAGAGAACATAATGCTCCGGGTGCACCCATACAGTTTGTTATTGTAACTAAATGTGAGTATTATTAATTTATATTGGCGACAGTGTTAATCTTTGTTTCGCTAATATTTGATCAAAACTCTATTTAAGCGCGGTGGTCGTCGCGCTGCGCATGTGTGACATTTGTGTTGATAGACATTGGTTTTCCCAGAATCCAATGCGCTCTTCAAATGGAAATCACAAGTATGAGGTTTGACCTGGGCGCGACTTGCACTGGATTACCGCCGGTGACTCCTTGATACCTTCGAATAACATGAAAATTACCTAATTAAAACTTGGAAACGTCTCAGTTCGAGGTGTTCAGTCTCCTATTATAACCAGATTTCAATCACAAACGACATATAAAAAAGTAGTTAATTTCCCTGCTTAAAATATATGTATGTGTACTTCACATGCACCATTGTCTTAATTATTAACTTTGACACACTGATTTGATAATTCGCATATAATAATGTCACATTGTTTAATAGTGTTTGTATATTTTATATTAAAACAGGTACCACCCCTCCACCACCAAGTAAGTAACGTATCTTCTATTCGCGTTTCAAAAAGAGATTTACGTGTATTAATATAACATATATACCCTGGCTTAATATTACATATATACCCTATTCCTAGCCGTAGAAATCGCGATATTTATATTTTGCAGAATAATAAACTTTACACTTTCTTTTTCTACGATAGCTGATGCGACAACAGGTAAGACATATTCGCTGAATTACTTTTTTTGTGATGTTCAACATTCTATATGTACACAGTTTATTTTATTTTATTATTAAATTCGTGTAATTAACATTACAGATCACATACAATAGCTGCAATGCCACCTTTGACAATATGGCAGCTTTCTGAGATAACATAACATAGTATTGTTATATTTTAGTACACCAAGGATATAAAATTTCAACAACATTAATTTAAATTCATGTGCTGTCAAAACCCTCAGTATAAGTCGTAAATATGAATTTATTTTTTTATGCAATAAACCTGTTATTTGACGTTAATTAGTAAAATAATTATAATTATAAGCATAAAATGAATATGTTGCACCTTATTAATTTCGTTATAAGACTTTCGGTTGTTGCAAAAATGGAGTGTAAAGTCCAAGGTATAGGCGAAGGCACATAACATTTGCAGTAGAGGTTATCCTTCGCCTGCATTTGATAGGAAACAGCCAACATTTTTAGAAATGATTCCTCATGGATAAGGCTACGTTTTTTTTTATTTTGTTAATAATTCCGCATTAATAATTGCAAAAAGGGTTATTTGAGATTTTATATGCAATTTTCAGAAGAGGTTGTTGCTCTTGACTTAAAACTAAAATCGAATAATTAGATTTTATGTATGTGAATCTGGTTGCCATGGAAACAATATTAATTATTCTTTATTCGGGACGGGTTGTTTTT